GGGTTGTCCTACCACCCACCAAAAGAGCAGGACACAGTCCAGAGTGAGCTAGAGAGCATGAGTATGTATAGAGGGAAAGCTGGGGAGAAGTGGAAGGAGTTGATTAGGAAGTTTCTCAAATAGGGTCACGTAGGAGATCCACCTTTATTACCTCAGAGTAATAGAGGAAGAAATGCCATCCCAGTTTGGGCCAAAGAAGAAAAGGGGATTATGGGATAAGAAAAGTCACACAGTTCCAAATAAAGCTAACTAGTTTTGTCACCTTATCATCCCCTTTCTTTATCTTTCCTATATATTCTGATGTTTTTTTTAACATATTCAAGTAACACTCAGATACAAACTGTGTATTTGAATATGCAGTTATCAGGGAGGATTAGTTCAAGGATTACATAAGAGTTGGATGACATAAATTCTTTATATTTTGCCTTCTATAGAGACCTACAGAATGCATCTTTATTATGAATCAAAATACAGCTGGGATACTGCAAGTCAATATTATGAATGGTGAGATTGTCACATATCCTATCTCATGCCATCTTTGTTAGTTGACTGGTATTCTCCCCCCGCCCACCAGGAGCAGCTCATTGTACATTCAGCGATGAGATACCATTAAGTATGGCAAAGTTGTATTATTGAGATATTAAATAAACCTGACATGATAAATTCTGACCATCATTTATCCCACAGCTTTAGATTCATCATGGACTAGGCATGCAGAAATAAGCAGTGGATTTCACGGAAACCTAAAGGCATTTTTGAATGACATTGCTACTATTCATTAGTTGGCTCAGGACCTTTGTAATTTTTATTTAACTATTTGAGTTGTCTTCTTTTAACACTGTTTCTTTCCCCAGTACATTTCTTAATATTTTTTAAGTCTCGTGAATGCATGCTCAGTATATTAAAATCCGTAACAGTGTAATTCTTCTTGTAATCTATTGATTCAGTGCTTTGTATATGAAGTCATATATGTTTTCTGTCTTCCTGGACTTATGATAAATGTACATGTCTTCCTGGACTTGGTTTAAAGGTTTATAAACCATTGTAGATGAAAATGATAATTTGAAAATATATATAATACATCTAACCTGCTGAACATCATAGCTTAGCTTACCTAAAACATGCTCAGAACACATATAGTTGGGCAAAATAATCTACATAAAACCTATTTTATAATAGTATTGAATATCTTATGTAATTTATTAAAAACATTTTATGGAACTAACGTTACATTGTAATGTACATACAGGTTTCAGGTGTGCATCATTATAAATCAACATCTGTATATACCACATTAATTTCACTACTAAAAGACCAGTTTTATTTTTCACCTCAACATGTAGTTTATTTAACACTCCACTGAAAATGGAAAACAGATATGACAGGTTACAAAAGCACAAAATACAACAGCAAAAAAACTAACTGCTTTTTCATCATTATGAGGTATAAACAATGTAACTTATACCATTTTAGATTAAGGATCGTCTATACTTTTATATGTATTATAAGACACCATCCTTTCAAATAGAAAACTTTAAAACCTTAAAAAAGGATGTTCTTTTTGGTAGCTCTTAAAATGCCCAAGCTGCATCCCAGAATCAATTGGAATCTCTGTGGATGGAATGGCAGGATAGGTAGTTCTTAAACTTGTCCAGGTGAATGCAGCTATCGCTAAGGTGGAAAAAGCAATTCTATATCATTTGCTTCCTATTCATCCTTTCCCATGACACACACCTGCATTCTATCACCTGGCTGAGTCCCCTATGCACACAGCATGAGGCAGTAGATGGGCTTGGGTGTAAAAATGAGCTGATTTCAGTCCAGGCCTTGCCAGGACACCTGCCCTACTTTCATGACTTCTCTGAGTCATGGGGTGGGGGGGGGCACTGGTAGTAGAAGCTTATGACAGAAGCTTATAAAGAGTAGATTTGTAGTACATTTATATCATTGTTCTTGATAGATTCAGTGGCACAGAAACCTAAACATGTTTTCAAATTCTGTTGTTTTCTCATCTTTTAGGAAAGCTCCCATTCACTTGATGTCTAGTACTTTCAAAATTGATCATTTTATATTTAGCTGTATATTTAGCTGTTAGCCCACAGTGATCTGTTCTTGGTAGGACTTCAGGAATTGGGAAAGGTAATGGTTCAGTAGCTTGATCTGAGGTGAAATCTAGTCATGATTAATTTTGTCAACTTGATTGGACTGTGGATTCTAATTTTTTGGTCAAGTACAAATTTGGTAGAAAGGTATTTTTTAGAGGTGATTGACATTTAAATCAGTAGACTTTGAGTAAAGTAGATTTAGTGTCCATAATGTGGGTAGGCCTCATCCAGTCAGTTGAAGGCTGTAAGAGCAAAGCCTACCAACTGAAGAAGTACCGATTCTAAATCTCTCTCTCTCAATATCAATACATACCAATATACTATCAAGTCTAAGTCCATCCCTCTTTATGTGTGTATATGTATATAAACATATATACACATATATACAGTTTCCATCCAAATGAGACTAATATTCTATATATAAACATAGATGCATATAATTGTATAGACATATATATACACATACATATATAAATAGATACACACACACACATACAACATTGGTTCTGTTTCTATGAAGAACCTTGGTTAAATAACCAGGGATCCTTAGAAGAGCTTCATAATACTTTTGCTGTGCCCACTTCTTCCTCTTCCTCCCATCTTGTGAGGCATCAAAGCTCTTTCTCTTTTTCACCTGCCTAAAACTGGTCATACATTCTACAGTAAGATCAGTTTAAGAGAATTAACTTAATCACAGAAGTTAGTTACTATAGTGATATGCAACAATTTAGGTTTCATTAGATTTTCTAATTGTGTCCTTTATGATTTTTAAGGGTCATCTATCTGAACTACTTATCATCTATCTCTGAGTCGCCCAATCATGATTTTCTCTTAGTATCTTTTCACTTGTGTGTGAGTAAGTAGCTTTGATTTGATACCTAGAGTCTTGGAGTGTTCATGGTCTTTTCCACATTTAATCAACTCTAAAGTTTAAAAGTATTAGAATTCTCACTTTTCTCAGTGAAAATACTACATCAGGTTTAGAACCCACATCTGCTTCTGGTCAACAAATGAAGTGAAGAGAGTAGTAGGAATTTGAAGCATACAGAGATATTTTAATCAACATCTCTTGGAAGGATGTTTAGAATATTTCCAACTATTTTTAAAAATCCAGAGCATAGGACATATGTTCTCTCTATGTACTCATATATTTATATATAAATATATAAATATAATATATATAATTTATGGGAGAAATAAAATTGTAATTAAATATATGTGGGTGAAATCTATTATAAATTATCCCATAGAAAACAGGAGATGAAAGAAAGGATGTTCTCCTCAGTCAATACTGGTATTAACTATTGTGTGGTAAAATAGGTTATTTAAATATTCCATTTAATTGCAAAGTCCTCTGGATTTTACTTCTTCACTCAGTGTTATTATGTTCCTGCTGACCTGTTTACTATGTAATACTGTGAATAATGAGCACATGTTCAAATTTTTATTGCCACAGGCTAACTAGTATCAGTTTAATATAAAAATTTAAATTCTGATAAACTCATAGAAATTGATAAAACCAATATAATGCAGCCTTAGGTTTCTCAGAATCCCATATATGCTTTATGTAGTATCAAAATAGTTTAAATGACACTCTTCTCTTTTCCAGAAATGTGCTTCTGCTTATCCCATAATCCTTTTAGTATTTTCCTGGTAATTCATCAAACCTCTTAAAACTGAACAAAATTAGGATTTTGTACTTCTATGTTTACAGAGAAAGCATATCAGACTGACAAATTTGATAATCTAAAAAAAAATAAGAAAAAACTTCTTATTTCAAAGGTTCGAAAAATAAAGGTTATTTACTATGTAGATCTAGACTTCTTGTTGTTTTTAAGATAGTAAATTAGAAAAACATGGGCAGAGTTAGAGGTTACTCAATCAGGTTGAAGCTGGGACTTTTACTCCAGCAGCTCCTGTTGCCCAAATTATATCTGATAATGTTCTAAAGTCTAAACATATTTTAGTTCAAAAAGATACTCAGCTCTTAGATATAAAATGGCACTAAGTTTCCAAACATCCACAGTTTTAGCCACCCCCTTCAGCTGATGTATTTGTTTTCAGATTGATCTGCCCTTCAGTACCTCTGAATGGTAATACTTGAGGAACTAAAACTTTGAGCTGGAGTGTTTGTTTTGCATTTTTTCTGTGCATAATCACAGGTTAGGCGCATTAATAAAAGGGTTGCTGTATTGGCCACTCGGAGGCCTATTATTTCCGCAAAGTCATGGCAACAGAGCAAAGCAGAACGTTTGCAAGTGTAACAAAATTTCAGCCTGTATAGTGTTGAGTGGAAAAGAAGACATATGTGTCCACAGACACAAGGAGTTTTAGACACCCAAAACTATCGAAGTGATCTCTGCACTTGGTAACTAGAAAGTGCATCTGTGTTTCTCAACAATTCAAGAAAGATTGGTGGTAAGTCTTCCCCTAAATGGGCTGCAAAAGTATTATTATGTGTAGAACAAGATGGTGTCTATAATCTTAAAATTGGCCAAATCCCACTGAACTGCATTTCAGAGAGAGGAGGGAAGTTGAAATGGTAGTACTCTGAGGATGTCCACGTGGGTGGGCAAGCATATGTTGCTGCACAGCAGAGGAAGTGGTACACCAGGATTTCTTCATAAGTGTGAGGTCTTTATAAACTCATCCTCTTGGGGGTTGTTTTAAATAGAAAGAAAATGACACACAGTCCCCAACTAGGCTTCCTAACTGTTTGGAGAGGGTTGCCACTTTCCTAAAACATTAGGTTACTGTGGGGGAATTTTCCAAAACTGTCAACAATTCCATTTTTAAACTTGATTCTTCTTCTCCACATAAGACAGATGCAAGGCAGCATGAGCTATATTTGGTCTAGTAGGAGATGTAAGTTATTTTTACTATGATGACTCCTACCTGACAGTGGAAGACGTATTCTGGTGTGGTTTTCTTAAACTTCATGTTCCAAACCAAGGCCACGCCATCTGGTTCATGGGGGGCATCTTCATTGTTGTTGTAAGACGCGACCATCAGCTCAGGGTACTGAATGGAAGAGGTCACAGGATGGATTATGCGGAGATGTCAACATAAAGAAAAATTCCTTATTCCTGTAGATGCATGCTATTTTACATACTTTAAATTGCAATTGCTTTTTAAGTTGTGGCATAGTTAATACCCACCTACTGCTTCAGTCTATTGCGATCTGGTTTCTGCCTCCTGTATTCCATGGGCACTTGCCATAGTCACTAATAACTACCCAACTGCATTCTTTGCCAGGTCGCTAGGTTTAGCTGACATTTGGGCTCCTCTTTCCTTTCTCCTCTATTGACCTCCATTGCATCTTTCTCTCCTGATTTTCTTTCTGATCACTGTTTTTAGTCCCTACAGGGTCTTCTATTACCCATATTTCAAAAAGGGGCTGTTTTCTGTTCTTGTTTTTGTCTCTTTTTACACATTCTCCCCAAGTGATCTCATCTACTCCAATTACTTTAGTAAGCATTCAGAATTAATATGCTAACAATGTTCACATCTATCTCAGAGCTGTCCATAGACACATCTGATACCATGCACAGAAAAATGAGTTCATTGTCTTATGTGCTATAAAACCCATTGCTCTTCCATTGTTCCCTATTTTGGTGTCTAGCACTAACATCCACCTAGCTGTCCAATAGTGCAGACATTTCACAATCATTTTTACTCCATCTTTGTCACTCCCGTGTGCTGTTTGCCACTTCCTCAGTACCTTTCAAATGTTAAGAGATTAGAACCTGCTACACTAATTTTTTAGATCTGCCTAGCTTGAATTTTTATTTTTACTTTAAAAATTTTTTATTAAGGCAACATTGGTTTATAACATTATATAGCTTTCAATTCTACAACATTATAAATCTCTATCTGTACATATTACATTGTCACCAAAAATTAAGTTTCCGTCCTTTATTATACTAAACTAATATCTTGACTTCATGAAGGCAGCAGCTTCCTGAATGACTTCCTGCTTCTGGGTTAGTCAAGTCCTACCTATTGCACTCTCCATCCTTTGTCAATATGACTTTACAAAGCATACTTTTAGCTAAGTCACTCTTTTGCTTAAAATACTCTAATAGTCCAGCATTACTTTCAAGGCAAAAATCCAGGTCATACTTGATCCTTTACAATCTGTCACTTTCTACCTTCCTTGCTTAATCTCATACGCCTTCCTCTTCTTCATCTTACCCTACATCCTTCCTCTAAGCTCTAGTCTTACTGGGCTAGTCCTGAGGTTCATAGGTACAACCTTTTATACCTATGAGTCTTATATATTCTTTAGAATGAATTTTCTCATGTGTTTACATCATTAATTCGTTCTTTAAGATTCAATGCAGATATCAATTCCTCTACATAATCCTACCTTCTTTTCTATTTATTCACTTACCTTTTTAGTGTTCCCCATTAAAGTGCTTGGCAAATTGTATAATGATTTTCTTTCACCTACTTCTCTTACTAGACTATAAGCTCTTTGACTTAGGGACTGTTTTTTAATGATCCCTGAATGTAGGGTCTATTAATTTCTAGCACGTGATAAGCACATGTTAAAATTTGTTGCAATTATGAATGCTATTTTTTATTTTAGTACTCCATGCCATAGTACTTCCATACTCCATGGAAAGATCTTACATTTAATCCTTTGTTGTCAAGTAATGTCAATAATTAGAGTCATAGGTAGAAGCAACACAACCAGTAAAATAACAAAAACTCTGAAATACCTGTCACCCTACTTGAACTCTGCTCAGTGTGATTAAGCAACTAAGAATGAATATTTAGGGAGGTATTTATGAGTTAGAATACATTTCACAAAAATGCCATTCCTCTTTGGAATTCCCTTAAGGCAGCCTCATTAAAAATAGCATCATTATAGAAGATCATGTCACTCTTTTCTCAGATAATTTAGTTTTTTCCTTTTTCACTATTTTTACATATATATGTAACAGAAGGTTGTCTTTTTAAACTTGAACATCGCCTTTTCTTTTTCTACCAAAAATAATCACACCTAAGTCTTCTATGTGACTTTATTCTTTCTGCTTCCTCAATTTAAGAAAGCTGCAAAGAGTTACAACTTGCTGGTTGGTACAGGGGAAATAAAAGCCTACAATGATAACACATGTATGTGGTCACCAGGGGAAGTAATCATTCTTTATTAGAAAATACTCCTCAGCAGATGAATCAAAGGCCTATTAAAGAAAGGCCTTTGATTCAAAGCCCATTCAAAGAAGCTAACATCCAGATAAACACAGAAGTCTCCAGACTGTCCATCTGAAGTTTAACTATGTCACATGTGAAAAAGCAACTCTATAAACACCATAGTGGCCAGTGAGCAGCCAGATGTGTCTGGAATAATCTCCCACATCTTGACATCTGGGTCTCATCGTTGGCTCCACTTGGAACTTTTTTTTCCCCCATTAAAAAGATATTTTAAGTTATTTGACTTTAAAACTCGCCTAGAAAACAAGGAAACTTTTAGTAATATATCAGTGAAATGCCTTTGGTGTAATATAGATAGCTAGGGTCATAGGTCCTAAAATATGCAAGTTTTTAATGATCTTAAATCTCCTCTGGTGTGTCTTTTTCTATTGTTTGGACATTTATAATCATTTTTTTTTACTCAATAAGAAATAAATCTTCTGAATAGTCACATAAACCTTAAATGTTAAAATTATGACTATAAAGAAAATATGACTAATTATGAACTTTGTGATTATTCATAGGTCTGAATTATCTAGTAATAACCTAAGAGAACTTTACCCAGAAAGGAACAGACCTGCTCTCAACTGTTTGTTTTTATAGAAAAATAAAAATCTGACATTTATCAGAGAAAAATAAAACAATGTTCTCAGTGCCCATTACGTTTCAGACACTGAGTTGGATGATATATTTGATTAATTTGATCCTTGAATTCCTCTAAAGTAGATAGTGGTTTTCCTATTTCTCTAGACAAGGAAAGCAAGGGTTCCTAAGTAAGTAACTTAGTCCAAATTATGTTGTTAATAAATAATGAAGTGAAAATCCTGTTTGAAATCTATTCAGATTTAAAGGTCATATCTCTTCCAGTCTACTTGGCATGTGTCAAGTACCCCTATGCATATACAAGGCACTGTGCCAGGTGAAATGTGGGACAAGAATGTCAACAAAAATATGCTTTGCTCTACAGGAACCCACCATTAAGTAGAGGGAAGTAAAACACATGTATAAATAAGTACAATAAGCATAAAAGCAGAACAGGATATGTGCTAAGCTGGAGGTATAAACCAGGTTCTATGCAAGCGTAGAAGAGACAATAACCATTTGGGTTGGGCTGGGGTATGGAGGGAGAGTAACTGAAAAGGACTTATGAAACTTGACTTGGGCCTTGAGAGTTGGGTACATTAAAAGGAGAACAGAAAGAGGAGACTATGGACAAGGACACAAATATGGCTGTGGGAGATTTCTCTTTATCTGACTGGTTCACAGTGATTTTCCCAATTTTGGAGATGATCTCAACACACAGGTGTCTAAATTCTTAGGGATAAGTAGTTCATTGTAGGATGGGTATTTGATTGAGTTGGGCTAATCACATCCTCTAACTTGACTATTATTAAACTTGAATTGAAAGACAGAACCTGTCATTTTTATAGCCTCCGATTTGTGAGGTGCCTCAAGCCACCCAGATGTCTACTTTTCCCAAGTTCCAGTTCTTCATTTTTCCATGGATTCTCTAAGTACTCTAGTGGCTCACCAATAAATTCCCCTTTTGCTTAGGCTAGTCAGAGGTCAAGTTTTCTTTTCTTTTTTAAAAAGATTTATTTTTATTTGTGCATACAAGAACTGGGGTGTAGGCCAAAGATGTGGGGGGTGAGAGGATTCACCAGAGACAGAGTGGGGAGCAGAGGTTTGTTGTGCCATGTGGGTTAGCTCCCTGGCTGGGGATTGAACTCATGCCTTAGCAGTGATAGCGCTGAGTCTTAACCCCTAGGCCACCAGGGAGGCCCAAGTTTTCTTAACTAATATTGTGAAGAACATGCCCGAGAGACATCAGATGGTAACATTTGAATGGGAGGCAGGTTATATATAGAGATATAAAGAAGACAGAGCTGGAAACGTGTCAGAGCATCCCCACAGAAGTCACTGGGTATAGGCTAATGCTTGTATTTGTCTACTGAATATTCAATCAAAGCTTTATTATTGATTTTTTAATTCAGGTAATGTTGGTTTACAATACTGTATATGATTTAGAGGCATAGGATCACACTCTTCAGGTGTATGTCACATTTTTACTCTGGGTACAGTAAGATGCATACTGCAACTATTAATATTGCTGCTGCTACTCTCACTACTATGTATCATTTAATGAATACTTTTAAAGTGGTAGACACTTTTTAAAATCAAAGTGTTTTCAGTATACTAATTCATTTAAAATTCAGAATGAACTTGTGAGCTAAGTATTATTATCATTTTATGAATGATGAAAAGCCAGGTAATTTGCACAAGCTGATATTGGGAGCATAAAAATAGTATTTACAGTTTTATTCTGGAAAAATCACTTATAATGACTCAAGAGTGTGGGGATATGAGGCAGAGACACATTGGGAAGATATTTTCTAATATAAGCAAAATAGAGGGCTTGACAAAATAGGTGTCAAATTCACATGTTAATAGATTTGAATTGGTATAAGTTGGAGTCTTTGCAACTTTAAGTTTGATTATATTTGGCAACTAAATGAGCTATCAAAATTAATTGGGTTTGTACCTTGGAAGACTGCAGGATCAGAAGATGCATTTCATATGTGAGAGGAGTTTATATTGTGGGAGTAATATCATGATTCTGGAAAATCTGTAATGCGGGATGTGGATAATATTATTGACCCAGTACGCTAAGCAATGTTCAATGAATGACAAAGTTGACATAATTTCCCACATGCCCTAATTTTTTCCAGGGAATAATGTTTGGTGAATATTTTACAAATATTACAAAGTTGTAGTGTTTTCAATTAAGAAGCCTGGGAGATCAAAGCAAAATTATGCAGAAACCATATACTTTTTCTTCCCTTTTCTCCCCTCGGTTCCATTCTATTTACCTCAGGTAATCATCTTAGGCATACATGTCACTACTGTACTCCCAGGCTGTGGGTCTATTCTTTTCCTCTTTCTTAATATGATTGTATTAAATTTAGATTTATTCAGAAAGTTTCTTCATCTCATAAGCAAGAAAACCTTTGAGTCCCACAAAGGTGATGTAGGACCTGAGGATTCTAGTTCTTTTTCCTCACGCTTCATAGAAAATAGTTTTTTTTTTTTTTTTTTCAGAATTGCAAACCTTTTCCCCACAGTGTAGATGGGCAGGTTACACAAAAATGGGAAAAACAAATGTGGTCTTTCCATTTCTGCCCTTTACAATTTCACTTCCCGCAACAAAACATCACACGGGATGCTGTGTGGAAACAAATCCATCCGTGGGCAATATAGCCATCACACGCTGAGGCCAGGCAGGAACCAGCTCTGCTCAGGCTAAACTTGCTGTCTTCTCAGGGAACATTATCAGTTGACCCAGGAACACAGTAAAAGTTGCCTTTGAGGAATGTGTCAGATAAGGTTCCTGTGTAATTTCCAGACTCCGAACAAGTGAACAAGCAGAGCTAAGTGTTTCCTCAAGCTTGGATCTGATTTCTGCATACACCGAGTGTGCTCACAGACCACCCACATACAGGCGGGAGGTGGCTGAGCAAACCCTGCTTGTATTAGACTCTGTAGGATCATGCACTGTGTGCTCTGTTGTTTGGATGTAAAAGGAGATTCAAGAGGAGAGAACACTCACCCACTTGGCTGATGACAGTTTGGGTGTGGGGGATTACACTCCTCTTCAGTGTTCCTGTTCTCTAGTAGGATTAAATGGGTTTCTTCATATCATGTTTTACTGCTCTGACTTGAACACACTCTTCTCCCCTCCATTTGTCTAAATTCTGACAAGCCCTCTCCGAGCAGTCAGAGATTCCAACCTCACTGAACTCTTGAGAGCACTTGTCTGCCCTATATCATTCAGCACTTATAACCTCTCTTGGTTCCAAGTTCATAAGCCCTTTGTGGGAAACAGTGGTAAACAGCATATGCCTTGAATTGCTAAAAGACGAGTTCAAATCCCTCCACTCCCATGTCCTAGCTGAGTTATTTTAACAAGTTAGTTGTCTTCTCTGAGCCTTAATTTCTTCAACTTAAAATGGAAACCATAATAGTGACTGCCTGGTATGATTGTTATGAGGATGAAATAAGAGAATGTCTTCAGAGCAGTTGGCACAGTGCATGGCATATAAGAAACAAATTCTGGGAGACATGGGGGGGTGTGGGTGGGAAGTAGCTAATGTTAATGGTGAAAGTTCTGCCTTAGGTCCTTGGGTATGTAGTGACAGCTTTAACAGGAAGAGAATGTAGGAGGCAAAAAAAAAAAAAAAAAAGAATTTCAGAGATGTAGAAATCATGAGTTAGTGATTCATTTGAGATTCTGAGGGACACCTGAGTGGATCTGCCTGATGTGAAGAGTAAAATTCAGGAAGGAGATTGAGTAAGCACTGTGAACAGACAGTGATTAAATCCATATGATTGGAAGAGATCTTCCATGGAGAGCATGTCAGGAAGAAGAATAGAGGTTGAAGGCATGACCAGAGGGACCCCAAGTATAAAAGAGCAAAAAGCCCAAGAGAATGTGGAGAAGTAGAAGAGAGTAGAGTTCTGGAACACCAAAAAAGGATGACAGAGGGCACAGCAGATGAAGGATGGAAATATCCACAAAGATTCGACAAGTAGAAAATCATTGGCACCTTTAATGAGAGCATTTTCATGGACAGAATGGTCAGGCTCCATGCCTGCTACCTAGTGCATAGTAGGTAATTAATGAATGTGAATAATGGAGTGCAAAAGTTAAACTGAATTCTCTGTAAAATGAGAAGGAAAACCAATAGGCACAGAAGAAAATTGTAGCTTAGTGAACATATCCAAAGTGGTGGAAAAGTTCTCTCATTTTTTAATACAAATGTCATGAGAACATAAGTTCAGTTTGTCCCACCCCAGTATTAATTCTTACCTGGAGAGACCAGTCCATACAAGTGACTACTCGATGCTTGGACCAATGCTCATCATAGAACTGACGATTAAAAGAAAGGTTGGCTCCAGCCTGGACATCCCTAGGAGGGTTTAAACATCAAAGACAGAGGTGATGTTCAAAATGGTACTTTTATTTATTTTTCATTTTATGCATTTTTTACATAATTTTTTAAAATTTTTAAACACTGTATGCATTTTCATCTTGGTTATAGTCCCGGTACAATTCCCACCACCCTTGTTTTGATCCTACTCCCCTCCCCCCACCCTGTGGTGTGTCTCTGGTTTATAGTTGCTTGTTGATTTTGATTTTTTACTTTATTATAATTAGTCTTTTTCCTATGAAAGAATAAAATGACAAAAGCATGGCACACAAAACTCTTTGAAGCCAAAGCATCAATTTAGATGCCAAGCGCTGATGGTCTATGAAAAGCTCTTTCTAACCTGGCACGGATAAGTTTTCCACATGTTGTTCTAAGTCTGATATATTTGTTTCAGTATCCATCTTGATCTATCCTGAAACATTCTGCTTCTCCTAATAATTTCTATCTTGTGGCAGAGTTTACTATCCAGGGAGCACAGCACAATTGGAGGTTCTTTGATATCATTACCACATTATTTGGCCTTAAATCAGAAATGCTATACCTGTTTCTATTACCTGAAATTTTTGAATGACTGTAGTGGTTGCCTCCTTGCTTAATCACAAGTTCTAAGGTAAGTTCTACCATGAAACAAGCATGGTGCAGGAGTTACCAAATGCATTAGACACTCAACATAGACCAAAATTGCACCTGAGTTTAGGAGGATTACATTTTGGCTGATGTTTCAACTGGCCACAAACCCACTTGGAGGAACTTGGCATTTGGTCATGCCTTTGCTCCACAAGATTCAGTGTGCAAATTGAGTAATGTGTCTTCTGTGCCAATAACTATTGGGTCTGCACAAAAAGCTGCTTAAATTGCCCGGGCTTCAGTTCAGGAATGCCTCCACACTCATCTTTTCTCTGCTCATTCACTTTATTCCATTGGCTAGCACTCTGCATCCCTTGTCTTATGTAGCTCTTGTTCAGACTGGGTTACTTGGTTTCAGACTATTTACTTGGGTTCTATTCTGCTGACTTACTGTGACTTTTTCCCCCTGCTAATTCTCCTCAGTTTCATCATTGCAAACTCAGACAAGAGGTACATGTAATCAATCAAGTGACTGCCAGGAACCCAGGAATACAGTGGGCCAGGCACCCCAAGGAAAATAGAATCCAGAAAGTCAAGTGGGCCATAGAATGAATGTTTTCTAAAAGAAACAAATAGAACATGTGTGTTCAAAATATTTTTGTCTCCTAAAAGTAGTCTAAAGATGCTGCCAACTGTTGAGAACATTTTAACAACCCCCTTTTGAAACTGTTTTCAGAGTTAACTGCCCTTTGAGAGCCCTCAATGATGATATGCTGTCCTTTGAGAATGTATCTGAATTTTAGAAATAGTAAAAAGTCAGATCTGGTTAAAAAGGCAGATGATCTCACCTTCTCAAATTGTTCACCGCCAAAAGAAATATGTGTCTAAAAACCAGCTGTATCTATTTTTTACAAAACTCACAAAGCATCTCCTCTTATCCCCATGATAATGGTTGACAGCCACTGCTTTTTCCAGTATATGTTACACTCATAGAGAAGTCATTTGGGATCACTTGCTTTTATTGATTAGTTTTTTTTCATCTGTAAATCTATACCTGCACATTTCCTAAGACGTATACACATAGTCTCACAGTAGCCAAAAGAGGCCGAAGTTTCCAGTCTGATCATTGCCAACCACATAAGTTATGGTCTCTCACATCTTATGTTTGTTTTCTTCAGCTTCCTGTTTGCTTAGACATCAAAAATAGATCCACTGGATATAACACAAATCTTTTGCTGCTTATAAGAATGTTTTCTCAGAGGACAGTGTACATGACTCTGCCATTCTCTATCACCTGGATTGCTCTCCAGATATCAAGTTCAAAAGCATTTCACAGAAGCACATGATAATTACAGGGAAACTATGCCCCAAGTTATAACCAAAGCCCATAGAGCTGCTGAGCAAGATCAGTCCTGGAATTTCATCCTTGTCTGATTTGTCAGGTTTCGGATTTGCCTACTCAATACATAAATGAAGTCAGAATCAACAAATAACTTATTTAGGTAGTTTTAGAAAAATGCGCACAAGAAACTAACCCATCTTTTTCCTCTAACTCTCGACCGCTATAGTCAAAGAAGATGTCAGAGTCTTCTGCCAGTGCTCTTTCAATGACCCGTATTGTCCGGTCAAAAAAGATGAGAAATTCTTCTGAGTGAAGGATCTGCTGCTTTTCTTCTTCTGTCAGCTCCCTTGGAGGGGCTTTTTATTTTATGTAAAAGAGATTGGTAGAAAAGGAAAAAAAAAAAAGGAAAATTAAAACATTTCAGGAGAAACCCAACTTTGAAAGGGACTGCTTATCAAAGAAGTAATAAGACACAGTGAGAGGAACCATTGTTAGTATTGATTCTAAATTATTCCTAAGTTCACACCAAAGGCTTTTGCAGATGTCTCCACTGCCAATTTTATAAAAAGATTTCATAGCTGGCCTAATTACTGTTTTGAAGAGTTGGAAAAGATTACAAATGAAAATAGATTGGTGTTTTTTAGCAGTTTTTTTAAACTGTAATTGAAAAGCAGCTCAAATAGTACATAATAGAGGAATCTATAAAACTATGAATATTAGATACTATTATAAAGCTGCATATATTAAATACTTAAAAAGAACTATAACGTGATCCAGATAGTGCCTTTCCTGTTTCTACTGGGTAAATTCATTTTATTTTAAGTGGTTTGATGGTAAGGCTGACTGATTATTATATCAATTTCACTCAAAAACTGAAACATATCCCTTCTAAAACTGCTCTCACCTGAAATATCTTGAGTTTTTAAATAAACACATGAACAAATAAATGCTTCTGTAAAATTCACAATTGTTTTTATGCCTCACTTTTCTAGCATGATTAATCTTATCAAACTAAATTTGAAGATACAAAATGAGGCAAAGAGAGATGAAATAACTAGCAGTATGTCATAGTATCTGGAAGTCAGATCACCTCAGAGTCACGATTAGGTTACATAAACTGTTCCTTCAGTAGCAGAGTTTACATAAAGCTATAGAGAAAGGATTAGGAACTCCCCCAGAATGAGAAAACTTTGAGGGCAGAAACTGTCACTGAAGTTTTGTGGTTCTTCAGGAATTCCAGTTCAACTCTCTGGCAGAGAGTCTTCAATAAAGGCTTGCTTGATTATGCGTTCAGGGGGATCAAATTGCCCCAAAGTTTAAGCTACAGGAGGAGGATGGTGCATGAAGGACAGGGTGGATCCATGGAGGAGTTACTCACCCATAGACTTTCCCAAACATTTCCTCTCCAGAGCTGATTTCTACTGGCCAACTGGTCAAAGGTGCTGTCTAGGTACAGTCAACCAAGGCATAATGTTTTATGGAGGTGATACTGATTTGAGTATTAGTATCTTGAAGCCATGGTTCTGAGAAAGATGAACTACCAAGAAGCCCTTCTGCAGTCATGGCAGTAAACCTTAAGCTTTTAATATTCATGATATTTTTCCCTTCTGAATTTTCCTTCCCTGCCACACACCATGATGCAGGAGGTGTGGAGGGACCCTAGAATCTGTATTTGTACATGAAACCTAGAATGACTGTGATGTAGTTGGTTCACATCTTGAGAAATGCTCTCCAGATATTATTGACCAAAAAAAAAAAAAAAAAAAGTTCATCCAGTACAGTGAAGGCCTTATCCAAAAACATCCACCCCATTATTCTAGCAGTTCTAAACATCGTTAGAAACACCTGTTTGCAGAGCCTTTAATACATCTGTGTGTATTGCAACTCTCTGAGAATCCCTTTCAACTTCTGCTGAGCAGTGTTACCCACACCCTAGTTTGAGAAATGGTGAGATGGGCAATATGTGGACCGTAAGTAACAAGAACTCCATGAAACCATCCTGCAATCAAACATTTTTTTCTGTCTGTTAGTTTTGATTCTTTTATCAGTCGAAACTCTTTCAGAAGCAGTTTTACCTATAATAGGGGGCAATGACAGGTAAACTCTAAATCTACTTTAAAGGTTAAAGATAAATATACTGGGCAAAGAGTTAAGCATGTAGTAATTATTGGTGAGTCTATTTGCTAAAACTTCCACAAATGAGGCATTTGAAATTTTTTGTACGTATATAAAATCAAGAAAACAATACAACTACTAAATGTAACTAGGCAAAAGAAAAAAAAACCTACAAAATGTTAGGTTCCATTTGTTTTGGTTAGTATGTTATATAAATAAACAAGGATACTATAGGGCCAAGAAGAGTGTTTTATGTTAAAAGCCTTATTTTGCCTTGGTGACTATTGAAGGAAAACTTGAGACACACTTGAAATTAAGCAGAGAAATATGAATAGCTTTCCTTTATTCCTTTTTTTTATGACATAAAAAATTTTCTATTCTCTGTTTATCTCTGTGGGCTACTTCTGTTTCACCTGTATCTTTCGCTACAGGTCCATTACTTTAAATAAAAAATAGTATCTGTAATTTTCTGTAATTTTTCTTCCTTGTAGCTTATTGTCACTTTGATCTCAGCTTTCAAGACATATAACTTCTTCTCTAAGAGAAACATAAATGGCTGATCAAAGAGTATTTGCAGAGGCCAAGTTCAGGTAGGGGAAGCAGTAGCCTCTCCAGATATTATATTTGACAATACAATATTTTGCTTGAAATTAAATTGCTACTGAAGCAAAACAAAGGATATATTTTATATTAAGCTTTGATGTCTCACAGGGATCAAATGACATGATTTGTTAGCACAAAATAATAAGATGCATGTGCAGACAAGTACTTTTTTAAAAAAAGTCATAAACAATATTCAACTTAGGAGTTCAATAGGGCTATAGTTATTTTTGATAAAAAACCAAAACTTCCCTTATTTTAAAATCTTTAAATTGGTATGTGTCGTTATAATGTAAAGAAAACATAATAAAGTATCTAGGAACCACAACCAAAAGCTGTATTCAGAGATAAACCTCCCCAGACATCATACTTCATGAAAGAAAATTGATTGATTAATGGATTCCACAAGATTCAAAATAGAAGCAGAAATCATTAGAATTAGAATTATGTTACTCCAGGATAGACCCCAAATTCTCCCCGAAAAGTCTCTGCAGCTTTTTCCTTTCCCTGGAACTTAATGAATTCTTTTTAAAATGTTTAGTACATAAAAAGTAGAATTAATTTAATACAAAGACATACAAGAGCACGACATTGGCATTGAAAATATTTGATTTTTCTTAACAAGTTAAGCAGAAAATTATATAAAGTAGGTTCGTTATTTGTTTTTGCAACACGAAACATGAACTATTTCTGCCAAGCGCTAACAGCCCCTTATGCGATTAGGGTGACCTCTTTTTTAAAAAAAAATTAAGATTCTGTATGGAAAGTAGAACACATGGATATGAATAGTTATATTTAACTTCAATAATAAGTATAGAAACAATGTACTAGAGTCATGAAAAAGTTTAGAAGACTGCTTAATTTTATGAATTTATGGTCTGCAAAATTAAAATCTAGAAGAAATTTCATTGTAGAGTTTACTTTTTACTCTTTTTATTATCTGTAAATATAATGTTCAAAATACTTTATGTGTCTTCATGATGTTCTCTCCTATTTGCTGTGCTTTCTTGAGTTTTCTTATTGACCTTACTGTATAATTTTTTTGTTTCTTTTTAATTTATTATATACTCTATCTTTGGGCTTTAAAGCTTCCTGGGATATGTTATCTGTAAAAGTATAAAATTCATAATGGAATTCACAATTTATGTCAAGTGCTTTACAACCTCATGTTTAGGTTAAAAGTTATTTCAAAAATAACCACTTCAAAAACATCTTGCCTTGTTTCGATGACTAGTTTTAAATTTCAGTATAAAAATGACATCTTTTAAATATTTTTCAAGAATATATCTAAAAATAAATAAGTAAACCCACATAACTTAAATACTAAATCAGGTTAAATAGGGACAGTGACTTTTAGGAGAATTTGACAGTGAAATCATAAACAAGAGCAAGCAAACCAAGTCGAACTGTTATAGTCAGGATATTCTTGAAGTTACTGTGAGGTTATGAGTTAATGTGGATCTACAAGAGTCAGACTTCCAATTCTGTTATTTTAAGTCTCTAAACGAAGATACTAGCACAGTCATACATATAAAATTTGTAAGTTTTGATTAAAAGCTAAAATGTACCTGCTGTTTTTTTCTACTTTGTGGTGGAAAAGAGTGAAAACAGTAATAAATCAAACCCATATTTCTTTACTGATTAATGCATTTTGCTGTCACATGGACAAAAATGTCAAAAGTTAGTGAACACTGATTTTTCCCCCCAGTCTCCCCCTCCCCACATTTAACTCAAAAAAAAAAAAAAAAAAAAGAGCCAGATTTCTCAGAAATGTGTTCCCTGGTTTGAAACTGTGTATGTCAAGTTTCAGCCCAGAGCAAATTTTTATGGCTGAGTAATAAATCCCTGAAACTCAGGGTTCATAATGGAAGTGCTGACACAGCCCTAACTACTATGTAGCCGTGTGAATGGCGCCACGATTATATCTACGAGAGATTCTTGAAAAAGTTTGCAAAATACTGTCTTGCTTGAAAAAAAGAGCTAGAGTTTGATGCCAACATAAACATGCTTTAACCCATTATGTGCTAATTTGCAGAAAAGCCATTAATAGAGAATAAGGCACACAGTGCTGCAGTAATAGGAAATGTACTTTCAAACTTCTTTTTGACTTTTAACAGGACTTTAATAAATTCCATGAAGCAGGAGTAATAGTTAAAACTGAAGGGTGTGTTTGCTTAGAACTTAAGGAGATTGCACTGCTTTGCCAGAGAAGATGATTTGGTGATTGGGGTTGGGGGTGGGGAGTCATGCCAAAACACACAAAATATATCCTTGCTCTTTGTCACCCAGTATATCTTAAGGATATTTTGCAAAAGGAAAAAGAGATCATTTTAATAAATCCTGATTTATTTTGTCCCTTGCTATGCCTGTGTTACTGACATTCTATTCACTGACTTTTTAGAGTAAATAAGCATTTATAATAGAAGTTTAGGGGTGAAATCTCTTCAAATCCATCTAGAATTGTTCAGGAAAAGTAACTCTTTTGCCCTCTGCATATGCCACTGTTAAAGTTGTTAAATAAGGGGGTTGTAATTGTATGGGGAATATAAAAATAAAATTTAAATAAAAAAAGCATTAAAAAATAAAGTTGTTATATTTTTCTCCCAGCCCTCAGCTGTGCTCCAAAACTTGAGAGTAAATAATCTGAGTGGGTTTAAGTGAATATGTGTGACCAGTATGGACCAGTATGTGCTATAGAAGTTCCCAGTGACAGTGGTGTTCCATGAACTATACCAGGTATCTTTTAAATGTACAAATCAAATGAGTGACTAATTAGAATTATGTTGATTTATATTTGTGACACAGTATGACATATGAAAGGACCTCTTTAATCTATACTCCATTCTCAGTGATAGGCTATATTGTCAAAAAGAATAACATTTTGTTTGGTCTTCAAAGGATGAAAAGTCTCAAAATAGCAAAATATTAGATCTAGAGACACATCTATAGTAATTCCTTTCTTCTTTCTCCCTTCTGTCTTGCTTTTGAGACTCAGTGCTATCACAGGAAAAGGACAGCACAGGAAAATGTACAAGCTTTGGAGTCAGCTACTCATCCTGGTTAATACACATTTACTATGTATTTTTGGATAAATTTTTAAACCTCTCTTTTCCTTGTTCTCTATCTGTAAAATAGGAGTAACAATAGTATTTGCTTCAAAGGATGTTTTGAGGAATAGGTAATATCTAAAAAATGCATAGAAGAGAGTCATTTATGTAATAAACCTGTAATAAATGTTAGTCATTGTTATGGCTGAAACGTGTTGGGCAGTTGTGGGAGAACTTTTAGTAGTATAGTTACTAGTAAAGATCACTACTAATGTTTAGATCAATGACTAACCCGGAATTTATTGAGAAAATAATTTTACTTGTTCCTTTACTGTTACATTAGAAATATATGATGGAGTGAAGTAGATAAAATGACAGTTGGTAACAAATATTTTATCACTACTTTGTAATAATTTTACTGGAATCATGGCTGGATTTATGACTGGAATTGTGATGGTTTGTATTTTTATTTGCTTCTGTCAGTCAAAAATCAATGACTCTTACTTTGGAGATAACAATAGATATTGCTAAATGTAATATACTGAATATTCATAGAAAACCTTCCGTGGAAAGGGTATATATTTAAATTTTACTTACCCCTGTAGTCCCTTACATTGGTAGAAAAAAGAAACCCCTCAATAAAATGATGACTTTACTTCTCTCCCTCACCATACCTTCCTTCAACTCCTGTTTTTTGTCTTGATTTTCCAGTTCTGAATCATGGCCAACTTTAGGCTCCACCATTTCATCATCTTCCTCATCCTCTAGAAAAAAGTAAGAGAAAAATGTGTTATTTTCTTTCCTTCAAATCAAAGTCTTTGGTTGATGGTGGGAGGTAGGGGCAAAGGGTAAAGTTCCAGTTTTTTTAGGGCAACTTCTGAGTAAATCTGTCCACAATGAATGTCCCAGATATATGTTCGCGAATATATGAATAAATTATCTCCGAAAGGGACCTCTTTGAAATCCCCCCTGAACTGCTGAGAAAACCGCCCCAAGTCAGCACCTGCTACATCCCTCTCCAGGCCCTCAGCACATGGGACGTTTTGCAATTGCCTCTCTGACCTCTGAAGCTTCTTCAGAGATGGCCCAAGAACAGATCTTAAAATGTTTCCACCTGGAGCACATTTTCCACAGGGGACACCTGCTGTACAGACGACTCGTTTCCAATTTAATTCTCACCAAATTAATTTGGTTTTGACCCACAGGAAAGGGTTAAATACAGGTCTGACCCCTGGTCAAATGCCACTGGCAAGTAAATAAGCAGGGGTAGGGCCCCAAAAGTCATTGCCATGGCCTGGGAGAAAACAACCAACCCGAAATGGCATTTACACATTCAGAGCAGCCCATGCATTAATGTGAACTTAAAGCTCACTAACAAATGGACCCAGTGGGCTTCCACTGCCAGATGTTTGAGTGCCCTTCCTGCCCTATGCAAATGCGTGCTCACCCTGCTCTCAACCTGCCTTTCTTAGAGGCCCCTTTTATTGTAGAACACTTGAAATCATCAGTCACTATGTAGATGATGTAGAGAAGAGTTAAAGTGTCACAAGAAAACCCCACGTGTAGCAATAAAATGATGTAAAATATCAAAACTTGCTTTCACAGTTTATAAATATATTACCTTTGCTCTTAAGTATCATATTCATGGTTGGTTATTGATTTCATGATTCAAATGGAGTTTAAATGAAATGACTTTACTTCTCCCTTCCTCCATACTTCATTCATATTCATTCATTCAACAAACATTTATAGACCTTCTATTGGATCTCCAGCTCTATGGATAGTCCCATTTTCATCACACTATCTCGAGATTCACATCAACTCAAAATTTCAGCACCAACCTCTTATAGAATGCATTATAAATTTACTTGATTATAAATTGTACATTATAAATGTACACTTAAATGAGAAAAAAAAGTACCAACTGAAAAGCAATTCCAAAAATTTTAACTAAATTAAGCAACTGATTTATGGAAGAATATGTTTAAAATATAAAGTTGTGTAAGCATAGCATTACAACTTAGATATAAAAAATTTTTAAATGTGAATTTTCACTGAAATTCACTACTCTATATGCCTATGCATTGATTGTGGAACCAAAACAACTTATTTACATGTATGTATAACCACACTGTAAACACATCAGAAAGAATGTAAAAGGAGAATTGTGATGTGTTATCAACAAATTAACATATTCACACATTAATATTAACACATGAAATAAAAACTGCTCTTAAATTTTGAAAAAGAGCACTAAGTTGCCCAGATTTTTAGACATATGAACCTTTAAAATGTTAAGTTATAAATGACACATCTATGTCCTTATCCATTTATGAAGATATTACCATTATCTACCCATTAAAAACCTGCTTGGAAATTTTGAACACAATACTCTCCTTGATGTGATGTATCTTCCTGATCCAAATACCTGACACGAAAAGCCCAATAAGGCACAAGCTGGAGTGACGTTTTCTCTTCTGATAAACGTTTGATGGAAGGGCCATTTTCGAGAGGCCTCTAATCTTCTGAGAAGTGGCTCCATTTCTGAACCTTCTAAAGACATTTTTAAAAAACCTAATGGATTCAGCAGCCATGCCTTGCCACTTAATAAATACAAGCAAATGCAGCAAAGATGATAAGGTCTGTGTTATGGGTTGAACTGCAGGTGAGGTTCAGCTGAGGTATATTGAGTTTCACATCCTCAAGAGCTATACTTAATGGATCGTATCAAGAATGGTTATGCTGCCTCCAAATTCTGTTATTATTTACATTTTGAGTCCACTATCCAGAAACCTTACCAGAAATGCATAATAGAACGCATTCACAGACTCACATCTAGAGGGAAAGTGGCACTTCAAGGAAGCATAGACCCCTCTCACTTCCGAAATTTGCTTTACGCTACTTCCTTTTTTACAACAAAAGCAAAAACAGCATTGGTGTGTATTTTGTAGCAGCCATTAGAGAGGGAGTGCTTACCCCAAGCAGAGAGAATGGCATGGTCAAACTCCTTCCCCAGGAACCACATTCAGCATCTTAGCATTAAGCTGCAATAGCTTTGAACTGTGTCTATGAGCATCTGTGCTTTATCTCAGTTAATTTTGTGTGTCCATTATCAAGATATGTCCTAAGGTATTAGAGAAGCCTAAGAGTACATAAGAGTGTTAAACTTAGTAACTGGATATAATTAGATGACAGTGAATTTAAGACGAAGCCCTTGCATGAGAGTTTCATTGCCATTGACAGTGCTGAGATGATCGCAGAAAAGGATGACTTTAATTTCAGAAAGGCAGAGAGATTGGGATAGATTTGTAGGATGTTTTGAGTATCAATGAAGGCGCTTTATGATAGCCAAATGCATTCCTGTGGCTAGGCAATCAAGATTACTGTTATATTTCAAGTCTTCCACATCAGCCATTGCACACAAGGAGCCTTGACCTTCAACATTGAAACAGACAGGCATAGAAGAAGGTGGAGCTGTCAGGGAACTGTGTGCTCTACTGGATTCAGTCCACAATGAGATGCTAATACATGACCCTCTTCCTCTATCTCCTATACCCCATTCTCCTGTACCTCCCGCCTCCCCTACCTCCTCACACACCATCATCACCACCTTTCACTTTCCCAGTGTGCTCATTGTTTTTCAAATTCTGGTATGTAAAACTGCACTGTACTGGGCCTCCCCTGGTGGTGCAGGCAGTTGAGCGCCACGCTGTGCAGCCGTTTGCAGCCTCTGCAGCGTGGGTTTGATCCCGCTGGCAAGGGTCCCACATGGTGCGCAGACCTCTCCTGTCGTGCCCGCTGCTCCCCTCAGCAGTGTATTTCGTCAGTCTGCCTGTTCTGTTCCCCACTCTGTCTCTGGTGAATCCTCTCACCCTCCCGTGCATCTGGCTTGTACCCCGGTTCTTGTATAAATAAATAAATCTTTAAACAACACAAAACAACAACAAAAAACCTCATTGTACTGAAACTGCACTGTATGTACATTATTTCTATTTCACACAGACTGTATGCTTGTCATTCCTTTTTACTACATGTTAGTGTTATTTTAGGTTTCAGGTGTCATTTGGTATGAATTGGTAGGTTACTTTTTGGATCTGATTATGCTAAAAAATTTTCCATATGAATTAATTGCAATTGCTTCTTTATACCATTTTGGCTTATGAAAGGTTTTGTATGAATACTTTCAAATATTAGGAAAACCTGTAATTGAACTGGTTTTTGACAGTGGAGTCTATCATTTGCTAGTGCCTTGATTTCATACAATTCATAGAAACTTTCTGAGGCTCTATTTTCTCATTTGAACTGGAATAACAATCCTATTATAGAACACAATAAGAATAACCAAATAAAATAATTGATGTGAAATTGCTTTTAAAGTCAGTAGGAAAGGTGAGAATACCTATATATAGAAACTGTCAAACAAACTTTGCCTTAGCTTGTATTTATTGAGCACTTATTAAGTGCTAGGTGCTGGGGATGAGACGGGGACAAGAGAAGCAAACAAAAATCTTCATGCTCATAGAACTTCCATTTGAGTGAGGGGAGAAAACAGTAAAAATACATACATATATATATGTGTGTGTGTGTGTGTGTGTGTGTGTGTGTGTGTGTGTGTACTGTGCAGGTAAGAACTATGGGGAAATAGAAAGAATGACTGGGCATGCTGTCAAGGATTGTCAGGTTGAAATAAAAAGAGTGATCAAGAAAGATCATACTGCTTGACATTTTGAGCAAAAACTTCAAAATGTTAAGGGGGCATGCTTTTTAAGGATCTTGGGGAAGGAAGACTAATAAAAACAGATTCTTACCTCTGATTCTCTGGACCCATGGTGGAATGGGCCAAGATCTAAATTTATCAGTTATCAGTTCCATTGATTTCAGAAAACAATTGTGATTTTCTCAGAGCATCTAGTTTGTACATTCACATCTTTTGGTTCTCAAAATGAAGTCAGTTTCACCATATGACTGAATTAGTCAGCTTTAAATAGTATCTCACCTTTCGCAGATATAAGGGTTTTTACTTTAAACAGTAATTCCTGGAACAGTCAGAAAGTAAGTGACAGAAAGTGCCACTTAGAGCTTATCAGAAAAATATTATTCTACAATGGCATACCCATAAAAAGGGCTTAGCTTGTGGTAGCAGTGTGAGAGTCTATGTATGAAGTATGTGGAAGAATAGGTTATCTAATCCTTTAAATAGAAAAGTCATTCCTCAGAGAATATCTTTTTGATGAGTTAAAGAAAACTACAAATATTTATTGTGTTTATAATATGTGCAAAGTCCCATCATGCGATACATGAATAACAGAAGAGCAAATTTAAAAAAGCGTACCCTCACTTTCAAAGTGGTTACAAGCCAGGTGTAGGCATTAATTTTTATTGGTCACAGAATTCTTTGTCTATCAGCCTTTCAAAGACATAAAGTAAGTGTTTCAGTGGATTTGTTACAGAAATAAAACACAAGAGACTGGTTTGTTTCTCTGCATACTGATATGTTTGCCTTGCTCAGCAAAGACAGTGTATTTTTCTTTAAGACTCTGGTTTCCTTTCTGGTGCAATGGAATTTCTTCTGTTGAAACCATTTTCAAAACAGTTAAATAACTTTAAAGAAAAGGATTTATGTAGACCCACTACAGACTACTGATATATGAGTTGTGCCACCAGTTCATACCCGGTTACATTTCCTCTGAGATTGGAGAGGGAAAAAAAATTACCACCCATACATGGTTTCCTGTACCAGGTCCACACAAGAAATTAAACGAGT